GTTTCCCTCTTTAAATCAAAAAACTATCCAAAAAGTATGAGGGCAAAGAATAGAGAAAACAAAAGGAAAAGAAAAGTTAAAAATAGAAAAAAAAATAGATAATAAAAGAAAATAAAAAGGATAAAGAAAAGAAATAAAAATATTGGAAAATAAATGGAAGGTCATCATCTCTCGCGCAAAGAATAATATACATTATCGTTTGCGTTTCGATATATTTAATTAATATAATTTCATTATATTTTCGAGGACTCATTGAAAGAAACACAAACAATCACGATTTTATACCAATTAGATAGTGAATGTATAGCGTCAGATTACAGAAGCGTTTTATTGTAAATAACGTGTAGTCATATTACGGGCTTTATCGCTGTAATTCGTGGGAGTCCGTCCGCTTCTCGTATTCGGGGGTTGGGGTTGAACGTTAAAATAATGCATACAAAAAAAAAAAAGAAGAAAAATAAGAAAGATGCAGGAACGAATGTTTCATTGATTGAGTAAGGAAAAGGAAGAGGGGGAGGAGGATGAGGGGATGATGTAAGAGAGGAAGAAGCTCACGGATTCCGAGGAAATCCGTTAATTTATAAAAAATAGACACTAATTCATGTCTCGAATCTCATAAACACGTTGTATTATACGAATTATTGTAATTATAAAGTCTATAAAGTCGGTTATATAGATCAAAAGAAAAGTAGATTATTAAGTGTTCGAGAACGATAAATGATGATGACGATGATAATAATGATTAAGTTCATGATTAAGTTTAATGTAAGGAATTAAGGTGATGGTTATATTATGGTGGTGGTTCGGTGGTAGTGGTGGTAATAATTGTGGAATGGGAATAAGAAGGAAACTATAAACCGTTTGACAATTTAGTATGACATTGTTAGTTGTGTCGCAATGTTTCTTGCCTCCCTCTTTCGTCACGGATTCGCAGGAGGTGAGCCAATTTATAAATTCATCTATTAAAAAAAAATATTATCTTTTGTGGGCTGTGTGTCGCTCGCTGTGCATCCCATCGATCTTTCTCTTATATCTCATTTCTCGAATATTCTTTAATATTCTTTTTTTTTTTATTTCTTTTCTTTTCTTTTGTTTACATTGAGAAGCAAAAGAAAATAAATTTAAAAAAAGATAAACCAATAAAGAAATACGTAAAATATCTTTTTTCTCTATCTTTTCAGGAGGATGCTGATTATGTGTATTTGTAATCATATTTCTTTCGTTATTGGCTAATTATTGATTTTCATGCATGTACGAAGTTTGTGCTTCGCTTCCCGTTTTTTGCATTTATACATATATAATATAATATTATATATAATATTAATTTGTTTCTCTTATTTTCACTTTAGCATTTGATTAACAACAATATTGCATCTGTTGCGTCTATGTCTCTCTGCACGATATGCGCTGTCTCTTCTTCCTATATCTGCAAGGATTGAGAATATATTCGTTTACTTCTTTCGCGATATATCGATAAATCAATATTCGATTTCATAAATACATATAAATATATTATTCGATTTTGCATGTATTACGATTATTTAATTATGCCGTTATCTCTCGCACGATTACGAATATTTGTCTCGATAAAATTTTCATTGATAATGTAATATTATTTTTTTGTTTTTTGTTCAAATTTATAATTCGATAGATTTTAAATTAACTTTGACGATGATTTTACAGAAATCGATGTGCTCCGAAATGGCAACCGAATTACGTTTCGCATTGGATTGCGGAAATGGCAATAAGAAAATATCGAAGAAAACGCAACGCCAACGACAACGTTCGAATCTTTCGATCCTCTCGGAGGAGGAGGGGGGTGGTTATGCAGCATGTAGCAGATACACTCATTTCGTTGGAAAAGCACCTTTAACGTGAACGATGAAGACAACGACTTTTCCTACAAAGATGAAGTTACTTCTATCTCATTTCTCCGTGTGCGTGTATCATGTTTATTTGTGTCTGTGGATATTCGTGGCTGTGTAATTTGTGTGGTAATAATCGGTTATTGAATCAGAGGCAAGAAGACAAATAATAATAATAATATTAATAATAATAATATTATAATATTTAACGATAATAATATTAAACGAAGTGTCATCATCGAATTTGGATTCAATTATAGCACTCTCTCTCTCTCTCTCTTTTTATGTATACGTCTGATTTTTTTATAAATAATTACCAAAGAGAGAGAGAGAGAGGGGAGGGAGAGAGAGAGAAAAAGAGAGAAAGAAATAGTTCGATACAGACTGTAAGAAACGATTATGTTTAAACAGATTCGACTATTTGATCATTTCGTTTGAATACAGAATAAATTAAATTTATTAATTGTTGATTTGAATCATCAACGATAACCGTTGCGTTAGAATTTTTTCAAATTTTATTATATAATTTTTGTTTACTTGTTATTTAATTTAATCAAAGTTAGTTAAATAATTATTATATATATTGTGTTAGAGAGAGGAAAATATCACGATAATTTATTTAAATCGTAACGTTAACGATGATCGTTGAGATTTAGGACATTCAACGTTCTTATTTGTAAGCCAATTAAAAGAAAAACAAAACAAACAAAAACAAAATATAAATATTATATAGCATCAATTGTTCTGTACAGAAGATACTCAAAAAATATTTGAACAATTACAATTTCGATAAGAAATTTATAATAAAAAGATCGAACGTTCGTTTCATTTAAAAAAAGAAAATACAAGATACGTTCGATCTTTTTTTACAATCGCAAAATACGATAGTATTCATGCAAATATAATTCGCAAAAACTGCAACATCAAACAACGCGAACATTCAGGTGTATCAATCAGGTGGTTTCGTGTTATGATCATCTGTAGATAACGTTAAAACAAACCAACCAAACAAACAAAAATCCAAAACAAACATTTTTGTATATCTCCTATCCTCATTATAATCATTCAAATTTGTATAAATTTTCGAATCTATGTGGGCTAAAAAGTACGAGTCGTGTGTCCGCGAGTTGTTTAACAAAATCTACGTTTGTCGTTTACTTCTGACAAAAAAAAAATAAAAATAAAAAAGATAAAAAAAAAAATAAGTATAAAAATTAAAATAAATATATAAAACACTTTCAACGGCTGGAGGCGATAATAATGAACGTTTTTTTCTTTTTCTTTTTCTGTAAAAGAATTATAATAAATGTTTATAAAAATAACTATTATTTTGTAATCATTTACATTTTTTCCATTTTATTGAATTTATTGTTAACGCAATAAATATTATATTCCTTGCACCTGCCGTTGAGAGTGAAAAGTAGCTATAAGAAAAATAAAAAGTAAATAAGTAAATGAATAAAACGGAAAGAAGAAAGAAAGAAAGAAAGAAAAAAGTAAAGAACGTTTTTCACGCACGGTTCGAATGATAGAAAAAAAAAATATGATAGTAGGGAGAAGAATTATTAAAAATTAAAACAGAATGAACAAATTCAGATATAAAGAATTTCATTTAATTTGCGTTTTTGTCGTAAACGTTCGTACAAAACATTAACGAAACACAACAGTATTAATTTCCGTCTTCCGTCATCATCTCGTAGATAGATTTAAAATGCATGTGTAATTAAATATCATGATAAACTTTTTCGTCAAGCTTGTCGAATAAATACTGATTTTTCAATTGAAAAAATACAAAAAAAAAAAATAAAAAGAGAGAGAGAGAGAGACAAAGAAATAAAAATAGAAAATGAAAAAAAAGAACAAAAATAAATTTCCTGTTATACTCGGCTCTTTCTTTCTTTTTTAAAATCATCTTGCACGCGTGCGGTAACATACACATGACAAAAGAAAAAACTAAGAACTACACTATACTTCTTTTTTAATTTTCAATCGTTTGAACTCAGATATAAAAGAACGAGAAAGTCAAGGTTTAAAAATAAAGACCCCTCGTAACACTTTGGAAGACATTTTTAAAAAAGCCTGCAAAACATACCCTATTTATTTATCCAATCAAACTTACGAGATCTTTCATTAATAAATAAAACAAATCAAATAAAAAATAAATAAATCAATCAATCAAATAAAGAGTCGTTTTTATGTACAAAGAAACGAAAGAGAGAAAGAAAGAGAATGAGAGAAATTAAAAAACAAACGACACATGTATACACACACACACACACACACACATACATATACACATTAAATTACACACGCATAAGTTTACACTAAATATGCACCTGTAAATATCGTCTGTATTCTGTACTTGTTACAATCGCGTTCGCGTAACGTCATACAATTTTGTCATGAGGCTATTGATTATATACTTCTTATATAAAAAAAGAAAAACAAAGAAAGAAAGAAATAATATCATCATCATCATCAACAACAACAACAACAACAACAGCAACAAGTTATGTACTACGAAGTAACGTATTAAACGTGAATAAACTATTCGTCTGTATATTCTCATTCGTGAAGTTCTCGAAAAAAAAAGTAAGAAAAGAAACCGAAAACAAATTTAGAAACACGATTTATTGAATGTCTCGAATTTTATTTACAATTATAATTTTTTTTTCTTTTTTTTTTCTTATCTCGTTTTTTTTAATGATTTTTATTTATAGTCGTTATTAAATTCAGAGAATTACTTTATCAATGAAAAGTTAATTTGAAACATTTGTTAAATCGCTTATTATCCCACACCTTTACAATCCCATTATGCATTCGTGTTGCATTTTTTTTTTTTTCACTATTATGCCACACCCTAAATTACTTTGATTATATTTGTCATATCGCATTTAGGTGCGACTTAAACTCGTTAAAAATTGTTAGAAATTTCTGATTAATTGTTTCATACCCGTTTAAATGAACATGACTAGCTAGACAGAAGTTAATTATTAAAAAAAAAAATGAAAAAAAGGAAATAATTAAATATTTCATAATTTTGTTTAATCAACATTTGAATATTTGACGTCATTAGAATCGCGTCATCGAGTGGTAAAAAAAGAGACATCATTTTGTTAGATACAAAACTTGTGAAGAAAATCATTGGGAAGGGGTTAATATTTAACTGAGCATGCGCTAAAACTAAAACTCTCGACAAGATACCGTGCGGATTTAGAAGTTCGTAACGCGCGAGCTTCTTCTCTCAAAAGAGCGTCTTTCATAAACTTCGTTTTGGTTTATAACACTAAAAGGTAAGTGTACTTAAATTTTGTATTCATTTATTTATTTAATGTTAAATATTTCCAAATTTATTAAAGGATCATTAACTATTATAGAGTAAATTTTATTACGAGATAATAAATAAACGTTTAAATATGTTATTTCAACGAATATCTTTTAGTTTGTGTTTATTCGTAAATTATCTATAATTTCAATGAAAAAATTAATAGAAAAAAATGAATGAGATATTATGTATAATTTTTAAGTTTTTGATCGATCGATCGATCGATTGATTAATTGATTGATTGATGGATGTACTTATATATATTTTATTTATTTATGTATTTATTTATTTTTTTAATTTATATATTTCGAATGAACGATAATTTTTTTCAACGTGTCATTTGAAAATCTATGTCAGTTTAATCTTATGCGACAAACTTCTCGATGGCGGCTAAGTTTCTAAATATATCGTGGTCGTCGTGGTGGCATCTAAAAGATTTTCTCCCTAAGTTTTCCATCCTTGCGAGTGTTACAACGATTTATTGAACGAAATGTTGTTGTTGATATTCACTTTCTTGTTTACATACTTACCTAAGTGAAAAGGAAAAAACTATACAAGAGAAAGAGAGAGATAGAGAGAAACCATAGTTATTTTACAAATAGTAAACTTATCGTTGTGTTAGAGTATAGTAAATGTTCTGGCATTCGTAGAAATAAACGTGGTGGGGAGAAAGGAAGAATGACCAAAGAATGAGAGCTTTTGGCACTGTGACAATACGCACGAGTAGAATCTATGAATTAGCACGTTTCGAAGAACACGTTTTCATATTTTTAAAAAGAATCTCGAAGAAAGTAGAATTTAAATGTAAATTTATGTAAATATTATGTGTGAAATTATTTTAAAACATTTTCTTAATAATTTTATCGAATGTTTAAAAAAGAAATATCTTTTAAGAATTAACAGACTTGTTTTGTATCTAATTAAAAAAAAAAGAAACAATATATGATTTAAATATAAATTTACAAGCATTACATATGCGAGTTTATTTCTAATTTTTATTAATAATTTTATGGAATCATTTGAAAAAAAAATACTAATATTATGTGTAAATTAACCAATTTTTATCTAATTATTTAATTTAATATTTTATACTTTATTTAAACGTTTGTATTTAATTATTTAACCTATCGCTTAAAAGTTGGTCAACAAATTTGAAGTCAAACAATTTGAAATTTGAATTTAACAATTTTAAGTCAATTTCGAAATAAAATATATTTGAAAAAGAAAGAAATTAAGAACAAGAAGCAGTGTTATCTTTTAATCTGTCATTTGTTTGTTTGTAAGAAACGAGATGACTGAAAGGAACGATAAATCGATTTATTTCGAAGACAGGGTTTCATTAGGGATGTAAACTTCGTGTAAATAAGCAGATTCAATATTGGACTCGATGGATATAAATATTTATGTGTGCCGAGCGAGATGCAGTTGCTTGATGCCTTTTCGTTGGTTTACTTAACGTCAAACGATTAAGTGCGCTCTTTCCGTTTGAGTTTTCACATAAGTCAGAAAATCTTGAGCTTTTCAACTCGTCGAACGTATTTTACAAATTCTCAACCGACTATTTTCATTTTATTTGTCTTATTATTTTTCTTAGAACAATACGAAAATGCAATTATGGTACGCTTTAGTGATATTCGTTACGTGTCTTTTGGATTTCTCAAAACAAGTTGCCATAGGTAAGTCTAACTTTTATAATTATTTTTTATAATCACATACATTCTTATTATAGTATAAAATATACATAATATATGAAATTGTATTTTTATTTTCTAAATCAAATCATTAAATGTGATAAATCATGTGTTGGAATTATAACGAAAATTACTTTTAATTTGGATTATCAAATTTTTTTGATAATAATTTTTATAAAAACTCACACAGGAGGTTTTTTCGATGACGATGAAATGATTCAACAAGCTTTTGAATTATCGATAAGATCGGTCAATCGAGAATATCCAAGTAACATTTATTTGGAACCTAATGTTCAATTAGTAAATAATGATGCATTCGATGTTACCAGTCAAGGTAATTATTTTTATTTTTAATAATACAAAAAAATAATATAACTTGAAATAAAAAAAAAAATAATTGTTTGAACGATTAGTATGCAACATGGTTGGTACGGGTGTGGCTGGCATATTTGGTCCACAAGATAAAGCCATAGCTGAACATGTGCAGAGCATATGCGACACGATGGAAATGCCACACATCACAGTTAGGTGGGACCCACAAGAAACACGCGGGAAAACAGTGAATTTCTATCCACATGCAAATACGTTATCCTTGGTACTTTTTCGATTATTTTTTTCCATTATATTAAAAAATGAGTCAATGGGACTTGTGCTGTACGCTTAATTAGAAAAATCTATATATAATTTTGCTTACTAAAAAATCAAATGAATAATAATTTACATGTACGTAATTATAGGCATATCAAGTATTAATAAAAGAACTGGATTGGCAAGAAATGATAATATTATTCGAAAACACCGATAGTTTGCTCAAAATTAAACCACTTTTAGAACTTCGTAATACAGGAATTGACATATTTTTGTTTCAATTAGGAAGTGGTCCAAATTACAGGTAAAATTATTGAATTATTGTCATTAACGCTAAGTCCTTCGAGACAATTAGCATTAACCGATTCTACAGTGTGGCGTCGAAACCTGTGCAGGAACGTAATTCAAGAGGTCAAGGAAACTGAAATCGAAAACATCGTGATCGATTGTTCCTTTCTAATTTTAAATGAAGTACTCAAACAGGCTCAACAAGTTGGTATTATGTCGGATCAGCATAACGTGGTTGTGACATCATTGGTAAGATTTCTATTGTTTTCTTTTTTTTTTTGTTTTTGTTTTTGTTTTATTCATCGATCTTTTCATATACATACATTTGATTCGATGATAAATTTCATGCATATTTTTAGGATCTCCAAACATTGAATTTAGAACCGTACCGTTATTCAGGCGTAAACTTTACTGGTTTTCGTTTAATCAATCCGGAAGATCCAACGGTAATGGAGATTTTCAACAAACACAAACACGAATGGAGCTTATCCGGACCGGATAAACTTCGACTTGAACCAGCTTTAATGTACGACGCCGTTCAGCTTTTCGCTCAAACTTTGAAGCAATTAAATGGCGTTACAAACGACGACGTCAAACAGTTGCCTTGCAATGGTTCGATGAGCTGGGAACATGGGAGTACTTTATTGAATTTTATGCGCGTGGTACGCGACAGTCTCTGTCTACTTCCAATCTAAATCAAAAATTATATTTTTTGTTATTTTATTTACATTTTAATTTAAAAATAGAAATGATTATTTTTTTTAAACTGAAATTTTAATCATTAGTCAATTATTAATGCGCGATATAGTACATATTATTATATGTACATATTATTAGAATATGTTTTAAATTAATTTATTGACTCACAGAATATTCGATACAAATGATTCACTAATCAGATTGTTGATTAATAGCAATTTAATCACTCATCAATTTCAGACCGAAATGAGAGGATTGACTGGATTAATATGGTTCGATACTGCTGGATTTCGAAGTAATTTTCAATTGGATATTGTTCAACTACAATTAGAAGGATTAACAAGAATAGGAGTTTGGAATAGCACTCATACAAGTGGAATCGAATGGTTGCCAGAGATGAGTTCAATGAAGCCTGATTCTGAATTAAGTCTACAGAATAAAACATTTTTAGTATTAATATCTATGGTAAATTTTTCTTTTATTATCACATATCAAAATTTTTCCATTAAACAATATTAATCGTTTAATGTTATAGACAAAACCGTACGGAATGGTTAAGGAATCTGCTACGATGTTGTCTGGCAACGAACGTTACGAGGGATTTGGAATTGACATTATTGAAGAGCTTAGCAAATCACTCGGATTTAATTACACTTTCGAAGTACAAACAGACAGCGTTTATGGTTCTTATATAAATAAAACAGGAAAATGGTCGGGCATGTTGGGAAAAATTATAGAAGGGGTAAGAATCTTGACGAGTATATGCTCATTTAATAAATCAAACAAATTAACTCTGTCAAAGAAAAAAAAAATATTAAAATTGTTTTCAACATGAAATTGAATCAATTAGAATTGTAAAAAAATTATTCGACCAATTAGCAATATTACTTTTTGTATTTTTTCTAGCGAGCAGATTTAGCAATTACCGATTTAACGATAACGTCCGATCGTGAAAGTGCAGTTGACTTTACGATGCCTTTCATGAACCTAGGTATATAATTTTAATGAGAAATTATTTTCAAACAATAATATACTTGATAACTCTAATAAAATTAAATGTATATTATTTATTCTAATGAATCATCGTTTAGGTATAAGTATATTGTATCAAAGGCCAACGAAAGCACCGCCCAGTTTCTTCTCGTTTCTTTCGCCATTTTCTAACGACGTTTGGTTATGCCTGTTAGGAGCATTTATCTTTGTGTCAGTGTTATTCTCCGTGATCGGAAGATTGTGTCCAGCGGAATGGAACAATCCTTATCCTTGCATCGAAGAACCCGAGGAGTTGGAGAACCAGTTCTCGTTGAAGAATTCCTTTATGTTTACCATAGGAAGTATAATGCAACAAGGTTCCGACGTTGCACCTATGTGAGTCGATTTATCGATCTTTCCACCTCTTCAAGGTCGAATTTTTCATTTACGAAATTAGAACTTTTTCATAACGAAAAAAGAACATTATTCACGTTTTATTTATTTGATATATTTTCTGGTTAGAAAATGGGATTGGGAAATTCACATTCGTGACAGAGACCTTGAAGGGATTAATGAAATGTCACTAAAAAAAAAATAAATATATTTTATCGAAATATCTAATTTTTCTTCTTACTTTCTTTTTGTTATCGTTTAAAAAATTAATTTTTACTTTTTTAGAGGATTTTCAACAAGAATGATGGCAGGATGCTGGTGGTTCTTTTGTTTGATTATAATCTCCTCCTACACAGCTAATTTAACAGCTTGTTTAGCCATAGCTGCTAACATACCACCATTTAACAACGTCGAGGAATTGGCAAAACAGAAAACCATCAAATACGGTGCTAAAGGTGGCGGATCTACGTTTGAATTTTTCAAAGTAAGTTTCCAATCAAATGATTCTTCCTTTTGTTACTATATTCAATTAGAATTAATAATAAAAAAAATAGCGAATCGATTGTATTACTGCGTTTATAATTAAGTAAAACATTACACAAGTATTCTATAGCAACCCATAGAGGAATTCACGTTACGAGTATAAAAGTAAGACAACGTTCGATACATCAGACGACGAAGATCCTTTGGCTATAAATTAAATATGATTTTATGCTTACCTCGCTTATTTATCACGTTTTTCAAACCATTGTTTAATTCATTAGAAAAGTATCCCGATAAACAAAAAGCTTCCAAGCTTGTAGAATTAGTTAGTTGCTCGCCTAATAGTCAATCCGATGTGAGATATAAATAAATTTTGGTATTTAGTTTACATTTCTAATAGTAGTATTCAAAAACATACCCCCC